GTGAACAGCCCGAAGGAGAACACCGCCACGTTCAGCAGCAGAGCCGCCCTCCACAGCCCGTACCCTCCCACCTGGGCGCGCGGGAGGACGATCCTCGTGCCCACCAGGGCGAGCACGCACACGACGCCGAACGCCCCGTATGCATAACGGGCCCACTTACGCTGCCGGCGCGGCGGGGGCGAAGGGCCGCTCGAGGCCGCCTCGTCAGCCTCTTCCTCCTCCTCCTCGTCCCCCTCTCTCGCTTCCGCCAACACCTTGCTTATCGGGACCTGCCTCGGCTGCGGCTCCACGGCCGTCCTCCTCTGCAGGCCGGACACCCTGGTCACCGTAGTCTCCCTGCCGGCGGACATCGCTGCTCTCTAACGACCAAAAAAGAGCATCGCGCCGTTCAGGAGAGCAGAATCCGCTCGTACGTCTCACGGGGGATGTGCACCAAGCCGGCCCTGGTGGGTACCTGGGGCAGGCCGTACGTCGAGATGGACGCCAGGCCCGCCCTCGCGGCGACCTGCTCCGCGTCGCGTTTCTTGACGTGAGCACCGCTGCCCATCTGGAAGCCGCACACGAGCACCACGACGTCGAAGAGATCCTGGTCGCCGCCCCCCTTGAACGTGCCCCGCACGCGGTACACGGGAAGCATCTCCTCGCCGTACCCGCTGTTGTTGAGCCCCCGGGCCGTCAAAAACGAGTGCGCTGCCTGCATTATTCTCAGTAGTTTGTCCTTGAAATTCGAATCGAATTCGACCTCACCGAAGTCGCTTCGATCCAAAAGTGGATGCAAGAACCTACGGCAAGCCGAGATCCCTAGGTCGATGAACACGGCGCCCACCATCGCCTCGAAAGCGTCCTCCAACTTCTTGGCGTTCAGGTTCCAACCGGAAGCGATAGCCTTGTCGCACATGAGAATCAGATCCTGCAACCCCAGCTCGGATGCCCACCCCGCCAGCGTGGACGTCCGCACGAGTTTCGTTCGGACCCTCGTCAGGAAGCCCTCCTGCTGATCCGGATACCTGTCGAATATGTACTTGGTCACCACGATGTTCAGGACGGAGTCTCCCAAGAACTCCAGGCGCTCGAAGTCGCCCTCCAGCACGTACTCCCCCAACGCTGACTTATGCGTCAGGGCCCGCACGTACACTCCCAGGTCTCTCGGCCTCAGCGGCTCCCCTTCTCCGACGAAGCGGTTCAGAGCAGCCTCTATGGTACGCCGATTCACGTTCCGCGCCTCCAGCAGGACCGCGCCGTCCCTGCGCTCGCTGTCCATCATCTCGACGTTGCTGTCAGACCTCGAAAATAAAGACGGCGTCACGACCGAATCTTCGTGACGTCGATGCTGTCCGGGCTGTCGTCCTCGTCCAGCAAGCCCGCCTCCTCCCGTCGCCACCTGTGCACGGTACGCAAGTAGGCGAGCGCTGCGAGAGCCGCCAATGCGAACAGAGTGATCGGGTCGTCAAAGAGTGCGAGCATCCTGACCCTTCCCTTGCATATACGCACCGTAGAATAATTATCGGAACATATAGATACCATACAAACTCTGAAATGGCCAGAACGAAGGGCACGCACTCTCCGACACGCAAAGCTCCGAAAGGCAAAGCAGGGGATCACAGGCTCCACGAGGTCAAGCGAGGCGCGGACGGCAGGAACTGGGTGGTGGGGAAGAGGACAGACGGCACCAAGTTCTGGCACCACCAGTCCCTCGGAAAGAA